GCTCCTGTAAAGGGTTATCAAATTGGGTCTTTAGAGTCTTTGGACAAAATCTTGGATGGGATCTTGACAGCCTGATGTTGATGGGAAGTGAAGCCCATACATCCTTGTCAACAGACAGTCACCGGTAGTGAAATGTTTGTTCCCTGTTGCTCTCTGTTTGCCACAGTGATTTTCCCACCATTGGGGTGGGTTTTTAGCCACTTGTCTCGAGTTCTGTTGCAGTGATTGTTTCTGGAGGAGCCCTGCCTGGTTTGTGTGGCAGCAAGCCCAAGGCTCGTGTCCTTTCCCAAGTCACTTCTTGGTTCTTTTCTGCCATGCTTCCTTAGAGATGGCAGATACCGCACAGATCGTGGTGCTGAGCATGGCAGAACATCAGGTGATTTGTGCAGTGTGTGGGGAATGAGAAATCACTGCTTTTTGGGGGACACAGGCCACCAACACTAGAGCAGCTAGAAGAGATTTTGTTCTATGTTAACCATAACGGCATGCCACCACTGGCCATATTCAGCCTCTCTCATTTACATGAGTGGAATGACAGGGATTGAATGAGACATTAGAAAGTTGGAGACAATTCCTTGTGAAGTAAGATGCTCTTCAGTATGAGGAAGACTGCCAAAATCTAGCCCCTTAATAAAAGTATTTGGAATAACTTTATTGCATATTAAGATGCATCGCTGTATTTAAGTCTGTGCTTATTTTGAACTGAAGCAGTGCTCTGAAAGAGAAAAAAGGTGGGAAATATCAACAACAGCTGCTGAAATGATTGTTTTGATTGTCGTGCTGGCCTCAGAGTGAATTCTGCAGTTCCCACTAGCAAGAATAAGATTTGTGACAGGACCAGTGCATGTGGAAGCTGAGAGAAAGATTCACATCATGCCTAACTCGAGGCAATGTGAGGCAAGAGCTTGTAGTTGGTCATTCTTCATAAGCTACATACTACTGCAACAGTAGACATTTACAGGGCAGAAGGAGAAGGTCTGGGAGCGTTTGGCACATACGACGATTGGGGGGAGCTCATCTTGAGAACTGCTCCCCAACACCCCTGGAGGATGTAAGTACGTGGGACTTATACCCAGTTGAACAAATGCTCCTGGATGGACCTGAGTGGGGTTAGAACCTTGTTTCTGCACTCTCTCCAACTTTTTGGAGCTCTGGGAGGCACAGGACAAACTGTGGAAGCCTTTGTGGGACCTCCTTCAGGTCATGTTGGAAGAGGTGACATAGTGCAGATTGGCCTCATTCTGCTGGCCTGGGGTTTTAGCAGCACTCCGAAGGGTGGAGGCATCTGTAGACTGTATTAATGTGATAACATATCTCCAATGTCTTGAGATAGCTCTCTCTCTAATATCTCCTTGCAGGAGTTTGCTTGAAAAGCCTTTGGGAACTCTGAAACTACAACTTCAGGTTAACAACTCCTCATAGAACATTAAGGTTTCAGAAGAGGCCAGAGGAGATGGGTTTTACAGGATCTAGCAGATTTCTTGTAAGTTGTGAGTGCTTTTGAAATGATAGCAGGCTATTAGCAAAGGCAGCTCTCAGGAAAGGTTTTGACATCAGTTGCATTAAGAGGACATTGTCAGAGAGGTTCCTGGGATGGTTTATAGCCTTTAGAACTCTCCTAACTGTGTTCCTTTGAAGGTGAAATTTGGGTCTGATTTCTAGCTCATCTTACAGTGAGAAAGCCCACCTCCTTCCACCTGGCAATCCTTTATTGATTTTCTTTCCTTGTTACTAATGGTGCTTGAAAATAACTCGGTTTATATCTGTTGCCTTATGCCTGTGCTTCCACCGTGTCTGGTGTTTTGATATTTCTGAAAATAAGCTTTGCTGCCTGTTCACACACCATCTGTTGGCTTTTAGAAAAGGTATTAGGTATGACTTGCCAGATAGTCAACGAGTCTCCTTACATCTGCCTACAGTCCCTTTCTGAAGCCTCTTGGCCTGTGCTATTCCTGCTTCCCCAAAATAATAGTGTAACGGGGCAGATCCTTGAGTAAGTACCACATTGCATGGGTAAGTGTGTGTACATAACCTAACACAGGAATAATGTTTATGGGACCTGCGTTAACCACGGCTATTTTTAAAACATTTATTTTTGTTGGAAGAGAAATTAAAAACAAATGGAGTGCAGAGGCCATTTCTCAGTGCATTGTGAGCACCCTCCCTCCCTTGCAGCTCCCAGATGTCAAATTTTGTTAACAATCAGCTTGAAAAACTTGAAATTCTACTGCTGCACAAACTGGATGTGCTTGGTATTGTAAGTGCAAAGAAAACCCTGCTCAATCTTAACTTTTTTTTTGTACGCATATTAATACTTTTCTATCTGCTTTCACTGCTATGCAATGATTTGTGCAGGGTGCTGCAGTTTAATACATTAGGACAGTGGCATTTTAGCTTCTACATCACTGTATGTTTTTTAGTTAATTTTCCTCAAACCATGACAGTTACATTAATACTACAACTTCCTATTTGATTTTTGATTTTATATGCCTATCCTCTGCCATCCCATTAATATTAATAGACACCTCTGATACCTGGGGGCACACAAAAATATCATTTGATTATTTGTGGCTTTCTCTGATGCATGCCGGGAATGCTATATTGTGGTTTTCCAGTGCGCTCATTATTTTATGATAAGCTCAGCTGTCAGTCTGGATTTCTATTTCCTCTGTATTTTGTGAAGCTCTAACAATATCTGGCAGCTCCAACCTGAGAGTTTGCATTTCGCTTCAGCTAAAACAGCCTTCACTTACTTTAACCAGAGACTTGTATATAGGCTAGCGCACTACAGCAACCTACATCAGCTAAAACAAAATAATAATCCCATTTTATTTCCACTGAAGTCAATGGCAGCACAGTGAAGCTCTAATTTTCTCTGAAATCTGCTGAAAGCTTTGTTTTTTTAATTTCAGTGGACTTTTAGTCATGCTGCAAGCCAACAAACATTACCTAAATATTTATTTATTTAGCCCACTCCTGGATTTTCTCAGATTTCCCTACTATCTTTTTACACGTGGTAGTTCAGCTGCTTGCCAGTGTCCCAGCTGTGTGAATACTCACTGCTACACCTGGGGATGGCAGCGCAGCCTCCGTGGCACGACATGAGCTCTTTCACCAGGCTTCAGCACCGTCCTCGCTCCGAGCTGTGCTTTATCGGCCAGTCCGTTTGGAGCAAATGGCTGGGACATAATAAAACCAAGTATGAAATATGCACAAAGAATGCCAGCAGTGAGGAAATCTTTCTTTTTGTCTCTCTTTGAGTTAGCACATCTTTGTTTTCATCCGTGCAGCAGGAAAGAGATGGTGAGTGAAAGCCTGTTGGGTAACAGCAACATGGTGTTTGCCTCAAATTTGATCTCTTTTGATAGAGAGAACTGTTGATTTTCTACCTGGAAATATTTTGAGATGTCAGATCTGGTTTCTGTAGGTGTCCAAGGTCAATTGAATTTGTGCTAAAGGAGGAGCTGGGATCCATGAGCCTGGTGACTGCAGGACTGGGCACTGCAATCGTACCTGTTCCCTTCTCTGCACCAACACTGCTGTGGTCCTGCCAAAGCTGCTAATTGCTCCAAGTAACACTGGGTCTATAATTCACCACTATTCAAGAGAGTTTTTCTGGTTGCCTGTGTGTATTCAGCCACACTGCTGTGCTTCTGGAGAGGAGTGGGCTGGTGGATCCCTGGAGTGGGGGAAACACATGTCCCTTGGCTGGGATGGTGCTCAGTTGTGAATTGCTGACTCCTAGTGCTTCTGGAAACACTGACTGCAAACGCTGCCTTTGCAGGGAGTCACATCAGGGGTCTTGAAATCTGTATTTGCTGGCACTGTGATTTTCTGCTTGAGGAATGAAATCTGTAACGAGACAGTCTCACGGCATTGCCAGGGTACCCGAAGGCAGATGCAAGTAACAAGATGCCCTTCGAACTCACCTCTGAGCATCTGTGCTGCTGTGACGTGCAAAAGTACAGGCTCCCTGGAGAGGCTTTAGTGAAAAGGCACGCTTTTTTCAACAGCAAAGAGAGCTAACAGGCAGCGTCCCTTCCCTGAAGGTCTGGAGTTCCCATCGCTGTGCTGTCGGCTGCAGCCCGTCATCCGTGACTCGCGTGAGTGTTCACTCCCAAGGACTGCAGCCATGCTGTTGAACACCATTTGCAGTAATGAAGATAGAAAAACAGGAGCAAAGAAAGAAATAGTGGATGGGAGGTGGGAGATGACAATAAATCAACGTGTTTACAACTCCACTTTGATGATTTTTTTTTACATGAGATACTCCATTTAAAAAAAAAAAAGTTTTAAGGCAATTGGATTACCTTAAAGCAGTTGAAGTCAGTAAGACCTTTGGCTTTTTGGATTTTGCTATTTTTGTCTGCTGGGTAAGATGTAGAAATCCAGCTGATCTATAAGGTAAATTTTCAGTTGCCATGGCAATGTGTCTTGTTCATGTTCTCAGTTTGGAAGGGAGATTGTTCCACACTGCTATTTCATTTCTAGGGCAATATTCTTTGGTGGCAGAATTTCTTTGTTTCAGTACATTAATGCTACAACTCTATTCTTCCTTTCCCAGCTTATGGAAACACGGCTCAGCCTGAATATTCCCCTGTTAAAATACAGTTATTTGCATTTTTTTGTTGTAAGAACATTCCTTAAGTCTGGAGGTAAATGTTGATCCATTTTGATAGCTTGGGTGCAGCAACATATTGATGCTGTGAAGTTTCACCGTTAAGTGAAAACAAACGGGAACCACTCCACCTTTGCTTCCATGGAGTTTGAACAAATGAAAGTATAACCTGAACTAGTGAGTCTTAGAAAAGAAAAGTAATTTAAGAGTACATCCTACCTATAATGTGCATCTTACATGTTAGATTTCTACAGATCTCCATGTGCTTTCAGTCAATTCAGATTCAATTCCTAAGTACTGCAGATTCCTAATTTTGATCAATTCTTGCTTAAGGCCACAAATGGAGTTTCTCTTGTTTCTTTTACCACCTTTAGTTCTTTGTTTTTCCACACGGCACCTTCACCGTATTCCTAAGGTGAGGAGTCAAGCAGGAGCAGGCATCCTGGTTGCTGTTGGCTCGGTGCAGCCTGCAGCAGTGGGAACGGGCTGCACACAACTCTGGACGGGTGGGAAAGCACATAGACGTGAGTTGGCCTAGTGTGATACAGCTTGGAGGTTTCTCAGAATGGAGGGTTCCTGTGTTTGGGTAGAGAAGGACCCCTTTCTGGTCATGTTCCCCATTTCGGTTGCATGTGGCCTTCATTGCCTTTCTAACCTGCTTGGTTTCATGGAACTCATCTCGCTTTTCTTTCCAAGTTGACTTCACACGAGGGTGCAGCAGCGGTGGCACTTTGCACAACGCTTCTTCTTCTTCTTGGGGTGGAAGATGGTCAGGATTGCTTCATCAAAGACAGTCTTAAGGCCTTTCTGGGTGAGGGCTGAGCACTCCAGGTAGCACTGTGCTCCAATCTGAAAAAGAAGAAAGAAAACGTGAGTACCCACTGCTGGGAGGGACAGAGCGACCCTGTTCCAGCACCGTTCTACATGCGTACGTATGGAACTAGATGATCTTTAAGTTCCCTTACAACCAAAACCATCCTATGACTCTATCTCCTGCTGCAGAGGGAAGCCCAGACCTTTAGAAAGGGGGTTAGGTCTTTGCTGTGTTTTGTATCTGACTGACGACGAGATTAAGGGAAAAGCTCAGGTAGTTATCCCGTGCGAGGGAGCAGGGATGAGCATCAACAGAAGTATCTCATCACAGGGGGAAAACAGGGAGCAGGTATGCCCTGCAGGACTCTTCAGAGAGAGAGGGAAGCTGCACCTGTGTTTGAGTGCTGGACCAATGGCTTGGCCTCTGTGCCACTGGGGGGTTTCAAGGAGACACGGGGTCATTAGTTCAGCCCCTTCATACACTTGGTTCTTTTTCCTGAGCTATCACCCCTCTGTCCTGCCTCCTGCAACCCCAGGGAGATGCTACCTGGAGGAGGGCTTCCAGCTGATTTGTGGGAACTGGGAAGCATCATCTTGAGATTGGAATCTCCTGGGGGTGCTGATACGACACAAACACACACAGTGGCCGGAGAAAGCAGCCTCAGCTTATTCAGCAACATTGCTGCTTATTCAGTTCATTCTGCTCCTGGGTGCTCTCACTGGCCTTTGAGGGCCAGAGCCTGTAGCAGCACCTGCAGCATATAAGGAGGAAATGGCTAGGGCCCAGATGGCTGCATTCAGGGCTTGGGGAGGGTTTTTATCACCCTGCCTTCCTAGGAGAAAGGTGCAATAGCACAGAAACCTTGGGAGCTCCTTCTCTGCTGCTTGAAGTGCAATGGATAAGTGGGAATCAAGTTGCCCAGGCTTTTGTAAGGGATAAGAATGAGTTTGGCAGGAGGGAACTGCAGAGAGAGGTTTGCCCACGCACACCTCCTGGCAGAAGCCTGAACAAGAAACCCTTGACTTAGGTAAAGTAGGCAGTAAAATCTGCTTTGCAGCCCATTTGTCACCTACTGCCCCGTGTTCCTTGCTGCTCTGCTTAGAGGTATTGCAGCAGAACAGCAGCTTGGGAGTCACCGTCTGTGTCTGCGTCCAGCCTGTTTGAACAGAGGCTTTAGTCTCTCCCTGGGACCAACCAACATGCCCCAGAGGAGTTCGCCTTGAATGGAGCACACCTAATGGAAAGCTGTGATCAATCGATTTCATCGGACCTCTGAGAAAGCTCTTACCTCCTTGGCTAGCTTCACTCCGTGCTCGTAGGTGAGTGGTTTCTCCTTCATGTAAAGCAGCCGAGCCAAAGTTTTGGGATCATCCCGGAGATCAATCTAATAGAAAATACACAAAGCCTGTGCTCAGTACCACCTTGCTTTCTCAAGACAGATATTCATAGCTTTACAGACCCACAGTCATCTCCTCGCATAGGGGCATCTGTCCTTCCGGCCTCAGATGGTACTTCAGGAATGAATTGCACATGTATTTTCTTTTCTTATTTTCCTTTTTCTTTCTGTTTTCACATGAATTTGTTCTCACTGGTGGGTTATTGGGCCACAGCTCAGATAGCTGCGCTACAGCAAAGATGCGGCTCTCAATGGCTCTCACAACGTGTCTTGGAAAGTGTCGGTGGAAGCCTGGGCCATGTTGGACGGGGGGCTGCTGCGACCCTGCACTGCATCACCCGTAAAACACCCTGACAGGCCAGGCAGACGCAGCTCAGTCTGACTGGCTTGAAACAAAATCCTTTATTTCTATGGAAAACATCAAAGTGAACCTTTCTGGCGTTTCAGACCCATCCGTTTTCAGAGTGTGTGATCCAAAGGGTAATACTTTTGTTATAAAATGGGTGTTTTAGATTATTCCAATGTGGAAGACAAAGCCAGTGTTTGAACAACTGGACTTTTCTATGGCGTGAAGATTTTGGTTTTGACCAGAATTTGATCTGTTTCTCTAACTTGGCTTAGGTTACTGTCCAGTGTTCAGACATTTTCCAGACTCGTATCTCTACTTCTCACAGTCTCTAGTCACTCTGTGTCTTGGAAGCAAACCCATATTTCAGGCATTTGTATTTGATTGATAGGTTCATAGATATTAAAGGCCAAAATAAAGTGGTTTGATCTTTTAGTCTAACAACCACTACAACACAAGCAGGACAGTGAGTCACTAATTGCAGTGTTGATGTAAAGTATGAAGGAGGCTATTTCCTTCTCGTGTCTCTAAGTAAGTCATTTGCTTAATTTTTCCCAGTCTTAAAACTCAGTTTGAAGTTTAGCTTCTGCTTCCAACCACAGACTTTGATGGGTATTTTCCTCTCGCTAAAGACCTGTCAGAAAGCTTTTCTCCCTGTTGCCACACTAATATATATTTGAATACAAAGCAGGGATGAGTTTTGCCGGTTGTCGCTGGCATGATGGGACATCTGCGTGTTGGTTTCCATTCCCAGTCCCTGAGTTTTCCTCTAATGGGAAAGTCTGGCTGAATTAAGAAATTAAATAGGAAACCTTTCCACAAAGGCCTCCAGCCACCCCCTCCCCCTTAAGACCCCCGTGATGGCTGGCAGTGCCCAGGAGGAGTGTCACCTGTGTTCCTATGAGGACGTAAGGCACGTTGGGCATGCAGACTTTCAGCTCGGGCACCCACTCCTCCTGGACGTTGTGGTACGAGGCGGGGTTCACCACTGAGAAGCAGATCAAGAACACGTCCGTGTTGGGGTAGGAGAGGGGTCTCAGCTGGTTGTAGTCCTCCTGCCAGGGGGAAAACAGAAAGTGTATTATGGGGTGGGGGATAACTGCAGATGGGGGCATCGTGTTGGCTCTTGATGAACTGTCAATACCATCTCTCCATGTTCATGTACCCTTGTAACCTCTGGGAAGCTGCTGAGGGGGAAATCACCCCCCCGTGGGCCAGGGGAGCTGTTTTGTCAGCATCTTTACCCAAAATAGCTAACACATTTGTGTGTGTATTATCCATGGTGATGCTGGTGTAGAGGGTAATGCTGAACAGCGGCCGTCACTGGTGGTATAATACAAATTGATCTGGAAGCTGTGTGTACCATCCTGTGCCCTCCGGCAACGTGATGACATCCTGGGAAGTATTATTTGAGTGTCATGGCTAGCTAATATTTGCTGATGACACACATCTCTAGGGGCTTTTCTGTTACTTTTACAGCCTTTCTGTTCCCCAGTAGGCATTATAGACATGGACATATACAACAAATAGGGTCTCTGGGCTATTTGGTGCCATCACAGTCACTTATGGGATGCAGGACACTCATCTTGAAAGCACGAAGCAGATCAGATCCAGCCTGCAGTGGCTGGGTAGATCACTGGGGCTGATTTAGTGTTTCCACAGGCCCTGGGCTGGGGAAGGAGAGATGATTTCTCTATGGGCTAGTTGTGAAGAGGGGGAATTTTCAACCAGCTAGAAGTGCAGCTGTGTCATGTCATGAGCCAGCTTTGCTTGCTGAGTTTCAAGGAAGTTTAGGTCTGCATTCAGGCTTGAGATGTTCAGAGCTAACAGAGGTTTTGCAAGCTGTGTGAAAGGGAAAGACTGGCTCTTTCTGATAGTGAGAGTGTATGTAGCTGTGTCTGGTGGGAACTTTTTTCAATGAACCTGTTAGAAAATTTCCATGCAATGAAACAGATGCTTTTAGAGGGGATATACCTGTTCTGAAGACTCTGTTTTAGGGGGTCCAGAATCAAAAAGGGGAAAAGAAGCACAAAGAGTGTGGGAAATGATAATGCATACTGCTGTCAATCCTGTCAGACCCAGGTCTTCAGTTTATAGTTTCTGCATTCTGGGTAAGCCTCAAATCTCTGCAGTTTGGTCACTTTTGGTTATAACAGTTTGAAAATTCAACTGGTGCGGTTCCACTTTGCAGATACTGAAATAGTTAATAACTAAATTAAAAAAAAAATAAAAATCCAGGAACTGTTGCTCAGACCTCAGAACATTTATTTGAGGCAGGGAAAACTCACATTAGTGGCAGGAGCAATGCAAGCTGCTGTCTGTCCTGCAGGAGAAACTAACACAGGACTGCATCATTGTGTGTCTGGATGAGATGGTGTCTTAATTCAGCCTTGCTTCTGTCTTGCTTTTGTTGGGTCAACAAATGAGAGGGCTTAATTATGAATTGAGACTGGTAAATCTTCTTTCTGAAGTTGTTTGTTCACTGAGTATGCAGTGATTGCCAGACTACTTCTGAATAGGCACTAGTTTCCAAAAAATACTAATGGATTATGTAAAAACACTTTGCTCCAACCTTTTCTAAACAAAAAACCTTAATTATTTCTTCTGAAAGGAAATAGAGGCCGAATTTAGCTCCATCTCATAAACTAGAAGTTTAAAGACACTTCCTAAACGACAAACAAAATGTTTTGTTTTGTCTGACTGAATGTTCATTGTCCCAAACCCACTTCAACAGGAAGAGTAAATTTCCAGTTACCACCTCCAGCGCCACCGCCACAGTGGTAAAGCCAGAGTATTTGCCAGCTGTTGTCTTTTCAGTGTCATAGAAAATATTGATCTGAAGAAGGAGAGGTATTTGGAAATATCATTCCAAGAAAGAGTGGAATCTCCACACTCAGGGAATGGCAGGAAAGAAAACTCAGAGACATTTGTGGGAACATCAGTGATACAGGCCACCAAGAAGCAAAGTCTTGGGAGGAGACTTACACGAGACTTATATTGCATTATAGGAATAGCTGAGTTCATAGCTGGGTGCTGTGGGTGAGGGGTTGCCTGCCTGATTATGGGATGTTATTTTAACCCAGAACATCAAACCTGGTGACTTCTCCGAAACTGTCAGAGTCGACATGGGCTGATACTAGGTGCTTGACAAGGGCATTTTGTGCGTTTTCAGTTTAGTTGCTGCAAATCAGCCTCCTGAAACAGCCAGGAGGTGGCAGCAAGCCCTCGAGGAATCGTGATGTAGGATTTTTGGAAAGAAATTGGCTGAACATAACCAGTTTCAATATTCCAGACGTGCATATTATAGAAGGGTTGGAACTTACTGTACCATTAAAATTACAAACTAAAAGCCACGAGTGCTCTGTCTGGCGGTGACAGCTACAGGAGTGTGCATTTCATTTTATTCTGCTTGTTCTTTTGGAGCCCCTGGAAAATCCTTTTCCAGGAGGAGCATTCCTGATTTGTCTTAGCAGCACAGAACATTTATATAAACCATAAGGAGGGACAGCCACACACCAGGTAGCAGAGGTCTCTCATCTTCTGTCAGGGCACAAAGGAGCTTGCATGGCCATGCTAAAGCACAAGCACAAACGTCGTGGATAAGGGCTGAGCGGGGCTCCTGTACCTGCCTGTGTCTGTGGGCTGGCAGGAGCCTCCAGACCACATCGGACAAGACCCCATTTCTGTTCATACCTACTCTGTAGGAGAAGGCTAAAACTTTGCAATGGACCATTCTGAGATATGGTGCATCAGGATCATTTCTCATTGAGACACGGTTGGATTCAAGCTACCAAATAGTGTAAAAAAGGGACTGGACATTTGCACAGGCATATCCAGAGGTGCTGCAGCTGGTGACAGTGGTGTTTGGGAAGGGATGTGAGTCCTCAAGGGTTTGGGCTGTAGCTGATCATTTATGCTCGCATTTTACTGTCTGTTATTTGGAGAGCACGAGGCTCCCCAGTTACACTGCCTGGCCATGGGTTTGGCACGGAAACACCAGCGCCAGACCTGGCCTTGCTGAGTTACCTGCCTGTGGCTTGCTGGGACCAAGATACATCAATGGGTGTTGGGTATTGCTCCCTCCCCGCTCTACTGCTGCCATCAGCCTTGCAGTGTGTGGGCCCAGAAAGCGCAGCAAAACTTGCTTTTTGAATGTTGCTGCCATGCTGGTCTCCTGTATGCTCCCTGCCATGGCAGCCTGTTAAAGCTCTCTGCACCTGAGTCCAGCCTGGGGAAAAAAGACCAAAGACCACTGTGGTTTTTTTTTTTTTTTTTCTCCTCCTAGGACTATTTATGCCAGGGATGCAGAAAACCAGATACCCCAGATCTGGGGTCTCTGCCAGCTTTCTCTTCAGGCTGACAGAGGGTCCTGCTGCAGGAGTACATTTTCCAATTGTTATTTCATTAGCATATGTTTTATAGCATCGTAACGTCAAGGGCTATTTTTGGCTATGACTTCACACCGATGCCTTTGGAAAGCCACACAACAGGAGGAGAAGGAGGGAGGAAACAACCCAGATGATCTGTCCTTATAGTTTGAGCATGTGGGAAGCATCATCCTTTCAGCCTCCACTGAGATACAATCTAGTCATCAAAAAGTGATTCATGCACTGAGTTTTGACTAGATGGCCATGTCCTCTGGACCAAGGTCTGAAAGGGAAATGATCCTGATGAGTTAGAAAAGATACTTGGAGGCGGGTGGTGCTCTGGCTATTTTGGAGCAGGAGATGGCAAAATTACTGTGGAGGAATGGATGGAGGGGTGAAGTTTGTCAAAGGGACAGACTAGTGTTTATTCTGGCTCAGGAGGACAAATAAGAGGATGTGTTGGTGAGGAAATGGGTGGCAGGTGAAACTGTCAGCTCTACAAAACAAGTAGAAATACTAAGGCACTGGGTAAAATCAAACTGAGAACTAAATGTAACTCCAGTCTCATTTGCAAAGGTTTGCAGTGCTGCCGGATTGTGACAGACATGCTCTGAGCTCCATGTTTTTGAGAACAGAATAGAAAACTGATCATGCATTGAACATGGAACAAGGACTTGGGTCATGTTGTGGGACTGGCTTTTGGATCATCTGTTTGCACCATGTAAATAGAAAGGTTGGATGGACTGTATGTGACACTAAGCTAGCTATGAAGTGACCGTTGCTTCCTACAGACATGTGATAGGAATAAAATGAAAAAAAAAAAACAAACCAAAACCCAAAGTAAAAAAGCCCCAGTCCTGCTGAGCACAGATTTTTCTAGAGGTGACAGTCTGTCTTGATGTGGTTTTTGACCCCTCTGCATACTGCTGCAGAGAATATTCTTTAGTAAGTGGCCTTCTGCAGACAGGAGGGTCTCCTGCATTTTTTTTATGCATTTCACAGCAGTCAGTCATGGCCACAAAAACCACAGCCAAGAAGTCCTCCTGAAAGCAAAGCACAGTGTCCAGAGCCATTCTGTCCCAGAGGGTGAAGCAGGCTCCCAGATCTGCTTTCCTCTCCTGCTGCCTCCAGGTGCCAGTTCCGACTGGAGGAGCTGGTGGATGTGGGTTCCAGACTTCCCAGGCTGGGAGGAAACTGGGACCTGCTCCCTGCCTTCTCAGCAGGTAATTTTCTGCAAGGTTTCTGTGCAGATTTTGGTCCTTTCTTTATTTTGCCAGCTGCTGGTGTTTGGAGGTAGGAGAGGGAAATTTCACCATGAAGATATGTTGCTCCCTGTACCTTTTCTTGCCCTTCTACTGGCAGAGCAAGCCAGTGAGAAATATTCTCCCTTCCTCTCCAGGGGGGGAAATCAGCCCACAGACCAAAGCATTTCGGCAAACTTTTAGTGTAAGCACACTGTATCGGATCGTGGACAGTGGAAACAGTAAAAGCCTTCTATATGTAATTAAGCATGGGGTACAGACTCTCCTGTAATAGACATCCTTGTCCTGGGAGGAGGATGCAGGGATGGGTGCCAATCTGGCTGAGTTACCATTTAAAGAGCCAGTAGCTGGTGACTGATAGGCTGGTGCTGTATTATATTAGTTTTCTGATCTTGGAAATGGGAATTCTTCTCTGTATCCTCAATGCCACCATGTGGTAAATGTAAGAAAACACTGACTTTATATGAAACGTCATATGTGCAGTAGGAAGTGAATCTATGAGAGGCTGAACTGCCTAACCAGGCTTTAGTTTTTTGCTTAGACAAAAATGCAGTCTTAGGGATGAGTGTATTTGTGTTTTATTGCTGAGGCAGGATGAAATCTCTACATAGAAAATGAAAACGAGAAGGTCAGCAGCTCAACCATTGCAACTCACAACTGATTGTTAATATTTGTAAAAAAACCCCACAAACAGCACCAACAACAAACCCCCGTATATGATAGTGACAAACAAACCATGGGAAAGGAAACTCATAAAAGTTTTTAGTAATTTACCTGCCCTGCAGTGTCATAAAGTCCCAGCAAATGTTGTTGTCCTCCCACAGTCACAGTTACTGGAAGAGAGAAATGAGAGATGTCGTTTATAGACAAGCCAGTTGCCTCATTTCTATGTGTTTTAATCCTAAAATGCCAATGCACCCCTGTGCTAGACACATGAGCATGTACCTTACAATGTGCATCCTAAACCAATCACATGAATTCAACCCAAGTTGGAGGCAACCTAAAGGCACAACAGAAGCAAATGCTTTATGCCAAGATCTTATTTCTTCCCAGGCTGATGAGCTGCACAAATCGCTTCTGTCAGGGACACAGAGACTGGTGGACACTTGCTTCTGTCTCTGCAGCAAACCCCTAGGAGGTGCTGGGACTTGGCAGCAAAGGATTCCTGCCTCCTGCCATGAGCATTGGGGTAGGTTTGTCATGGATCATTGAGAGGGTTTTTGTATTATTTTGTTTGCTCCAGGCTGTGAAACAGTGAAGCATTCAGCAGTGACTGGTGTTTGGTGGGTCTCAGTGGAGGTGTGCTGCCTCTTGGGCAACCTGTCCTGTCCTGTGTCATGCACTTGCGAGTGGCAACACTTAACCCATGAGGCTGGGTGGTGGATGCTTTGAAGGATGAGGAGGAAGAGGAGCACTAATATTTTCAAGGATGTTGAACAGGATCTGTTGCAAATGAAGGAAAGCATGGCTTAGTTTATTAATGACACTCAGCATGTTCCCCCCTTTAGCAGAATTGGGTTGGAACTTGACGATCTTTAAGGTCCTTTCCAACCCAAACCATTCTATGATTCACTTTGAACTTCATTTTGAGCCCACTGACACTGATGAAAATATTTTCTCACTGCCTTTGGATGAACCCCATTATTAGCTGATCTCTGTAGTCAGTGTTATTTTGTATAAAGGATAAGATCTGTGTTAACGACATTTAGTTAACCAGTTAATCTGCTTAAATCATTACTACTCAACTGGAAAGAATGGGGGGGGGGAATCCACTTCCACGCATTAGTCAACAGGAAGACTTTAAACGTTCATCAGGAAAGTTGCTCAAAATAATGATATTCTCTCAGCCCATGGACTACGACTTTTTTAAGCATGAGGGCAAATGGCTGGTGTGAACATAGAGCTATGGCTGGGGGGGAGGCTCCAGCTGGTGTCCATCGGCCAATAACAACTTGCAATTAATGAGAACTGGGAAAGATTAATAGTTACTTTTGTCAAAGAGGAGGCTTGAAAACATCACACGATGTTTGGTTTTTTTTTACAGTGATAAGAATTTTTGTAGGAGAAAAGCACCTGCCAGTTTATAACAGTTATTAGCTCCTGCACAGGGGAGCAATGTCCTGTCTGAAATCTCTTAGACCTGAAGTCTCCGTCAGTGTGCTAACCCACCACAGCTGGACAGACTGATTATTCAGCAGCTTTACTTGCTTGCAAAGTGACACAGTAATTTCGCTAACATGGAAACAGAACAAAACTGACATCCTGAAAGTACAAAGGCTCAGCGAGGACGAGACGCTGACGAGAGCTGCTGGGGCTGCCTTGTGATGTGCAGGGGAAAGAGGAGATGGGAAAGGGGCCGAGAGCCCTCCTCCCACTCCTCAGTGCAGGAGGTTTTGTGCAGGAGGCTGCATTCACAGTGCAGCTCCCAGAAGAACTCAAAATGGGACTACCTGTTCAGAATGGATGTTCATGGGTGGAAGAGCCCAGGGGAGAGCTACCAGAGTGGGGAGATGGGTACCAGTGCAGATAGGACACAGGCCAGATACCACCTCCCCTTCCTTCAATCTCATATCTGCATGTGCCAGTAATTTGAATCAAACTTCTCCAGAGCCCTGGTTTTCCACCTTTTATGGTGTAGGGAGTCTCAAAATGTCCCAGTAGAGGTCCAGCCTTCAACCTTCCCATATGCCAAGAAGCCCAGGAGCCAGACCTGTTCTGCTGATTTTACTTTGCTTCAAGGACCAACTGTGGGAAGACATCCCCTTCACCTTCCAGCTGGGGTGCATTACCCATGCAGTGCTCAGCATGGTGTTTGGGACTGCACGTGAGCATCAGTCTCCCTGTCAGTCCTTGGTTGAATTTATACAGTGTCTGCAGAGGACATCCAAAGTAGGATGCTCATATGGCAACAGTGTGGCCACGGGGTGCATGGAGGTGTAAGTGATGTAATGTATATGATGAAGGGACATTTGTCATTGTCAGTGAGGACATAGTTATCCAGCTTTGCCTCTCATGCCAGCTAGCCCTGAGTGCAGGCAAACTGAGCTGGGTCTTGCTTGCCAAAGATCAGCTCAGGTATTCAGTGGTTTAAAAACTTAGTCACACTGGAATTTACTCTCTCCGGGCCCAGGCTGCTGTGAAGCTTTGCTGATCCATCTCTTGGTGACATCTGACTGACAGAGCTACACTGGCAGAAAGCCCTGGTGCAGATACAAATTGCTGTCTTGTTCCAGTAGTTAATATGGTTTGGAGATAAGCTCTTTGGAGAGAGGTCCAGTCCATCTGCGGTGTGCTATGCTTTGCCAGAAGGATACACTGCAACAGCTCCTAAACCATTATCTGGGCTTTGTGGTCCATGAAGTCATGGTGAATATATTGCAACAGGTCTGTGGAACCACACACCGAGCAGTTATTGACGGTTTGTACAGTTTGGCTCTTGGTGATCTCTGGGAAATGCCAAGGGGGAATAAAGAGGCTGGTGGTGTCCTACCATTACTCTTCACATACACAAGGGCTAAGAAATGCAAGGGCTTTTGGAAAAATACACCCTGAGTCTACTCTGCTTGAAGATCACATTTTAATTCTCCTTATAGCATCCTGCATGCTGTGGGTCCTGCTATGAACTTCTGCATGGCTCAGTCATTTCTTTTTTCTATGTTTTTCACCATCAACCCTTACATTTTCTTTCTTCTTGCCCATGTGTTCTACTCTGTCTCATCATCAGAAGATCTCTGTCCTGCTCACATCACCCCTCTGAGTTTACAGCTACCACCCCAGCAAAACTGTCTTGTTGGCTTAACTTCAGCAACAGGCAAACTGCTGTTTTTGGATTCTTGGCTCGGAATGCAGTGGGGACCAAATGGCTCACACTAGCAATCCAAATAATCACTGTCTTTTGAAACAGCGATGTCTAGATTAATGCATTGGTACTGAAATTTCCACCACACTTTCACACAAGCAGAACAGATGTCAAAATAAATGGCTTTTGCCTGTGAAAACATCATGGTATTTTTATACTTAGAGTTTATCTGTTTGCCTCTGTCAGGCAAAAGGCTGTTCAGTGTGTCCACTTGGTAGGTCGTATTTATGAGCTGAGATTGCTCTGCTAGATTTGTAGGCCTTACTTTTGGCTTTATCTCAGTTTACTTTCACTTACCCTGTTACTATCTTTTCTTGTTCTCTCAGTGGCCAAGCCTATGGGAATCCAGCACAGAATTCCTTCCCAGTCACTGGGGGTAACGCAGGCTCCTTTACGGGCTTGTGAACTTGGCTTTACGAGCAGCCTTGGAGTAACAAGAGAAATACGAACTCTCCTTGCCATTTACTGGCCACATTGATATATTGACAAAGCACAGAAATGGCGTGGCCTTTAACACCAAGTGCAGTGGGGACTGCAATAAAAGGTGGATGAATACTTGCACAGTCCTGGTTCTCATTTGGCTCCAGTCTGGGTTGCATCAGATGATGCGATGGGGCAGATGTTTTCCTCCTTTCACTGGATGGTTTTAGCCAAATGTAAAACATGGCTTTTAGAATGTTAGTTAGACCATAAATTAGCTGTGTGTTGCTTGCTAGAGTTTGAGTAACTATTTTGGATCACTCCCAGGGCTTTGCCGCAGGTCTGTATGCCTGAGGGTTTTGCTAATGGGCTTCAAGACAGAGCTCTGAAACATGCTGTCCTGCTTGAAGGCCACAGCAGAAAGAACGTCTGAGAATCTCTTATCCTTGATTAATAGCACAAAGCAACACATGCGTCTCTGGTATGACACCAAACTTGGATGCAATAGCGCAGACGCGTTTAGCTGCGGTACAGGAGAGCAGATGGGCACATCACGGGGAATTTTTCCATGCCTATGAAGAAGTCCTTGCAGAATGAAATGACACTGGAACCACTAGCCAGGATATACACAATAGCTTAGGCAACGTCTAATGTGATACCACATGGGAGAAGTCATCTATTTATTCTAGTGCCTTCCGGCCAACAAATTAAGGTCCAGCTGCTTGGGAGAGAGATGCCAGGAGCATGACAGCAAGCAGAGATGGTAGCACCTGCCTGGATGGAAAGGCTTTCTCAGTATTTTGAGCAAACTAGTCTGCATCAAGCCTCAAACTTTCACAACAACCATCTTTGACCCTTGTCAGCAGGCTCTGACTATTAAGTTGTGCGTTTGTTCACTACGGTTGTATGTGCCAGATGCATGTTACCTAACATGGACTAATGACCACCAGTATCAGAATAACTGAAATTCTGGTTGGCCTGCTGGCAGTAGAAACGCCCAAGTCTGTTTCTTTTCCATCTGGGAAAGAGGGTAACATCAGAAGATGGATAAAACAGCAGTTTTCAGTCAGCCACAGTGGAGTTTAAATGGATGTTTTGGGTTCTTACTGCTTTAAAGGGGTGGGTAGACACTTGATTTAGTTTTTCATTTCTAGTTAGAAAGCTCTTTACATGTGTGCCTTATAGCTTTCCTTTCACTTCCAAAGGTGCTTGCTAATACAGGCCTCACTCAAGAGGGAGCAATACTGTTTTAAACTCCTGGCTTCAGCATGTGCCCAGTTTCACAATCCTACTTCAAACCACACTTCCTCGCTTCTGCGTGTATCTGCCAGGTGAAGCTCTACATGAAACTATAACTGGGTCTAATCCGTGTTAAATACAGATCTGATACTAAGGAGGGAGGATAGCAATGAGAAGTAAACTAAGCACTGGTTTTGTCTTTAAAATACATTGAGTGCACACACACACATATATTTTATATATATAATACATACATGCATGTACTTTTCCAGTGTCTAGTTGAACAAAATGATCAGATGTAGATTGAAATAGTTTGCCTTGACTGGGGGCAGCCTGATCATGCCCAGGACATTTGGAAAGGGCAAGGATTCAAATTCACAAAA